CGTCATCATCATCATCATCATCATCATCATCATCATCATCATCATCATCATCATCATCATCATCATCATCATCATCATCATCATCATCATCATCATCATCATCATCATCATCATCATCTTGAGCAGCAGCAGCAGCATCGTCAAAACCTATCTCCCCCCCCCCCCCAATTTGCACCTTCTCTCGTGTTGTCATCGTACTGTCGAGCTTCTGCTGCTCAATGTAGGACAATTGCCTATTTCGTTACGCACATCATCGCAACATGAATTGTGCACGCCATGTGCTTGCTTCGGGCGCTGTCGTTACTTCCCTTGCGTGCTTTGCACAGACTGGCTTGTTTATTTCTTTCTTTGTGTCCACTTTGGCAATCTCATGTGCACCACTGCTGCGAGTAAGCAAGTGAAGCGACTGTATCGGTACAAAGTACACAAACACAAAGACACGCGTGTACACGTATAACACTTGCACCATGTTACATCAAAAGCCACAAACTCGTTTGCTTCGTTGCTTTTGCGAATCCACTCCCCGCCACCTACACACAGGAAGCAGTAGTCACCAGCATCAATCACTTCCCTGCTCTTCCTCATCCCCGCTTGCTTCTGCTGCTGCTGTTTCGTCTACTGCCTTGCTGTCGCCACCACCGCCGCTCGCTCCACTCTCTTCTCCGCCTTGCTGCTGCTGCTGTGTCGAACCATGCTCCACACCGTGCTCCTCTTTCCCACCACCACCACCATCATCACTCTGCTGCTGCTGCTGTCGCCTGCGTGCAATTGCCATCTCCACGGCCTTGAGCTCCTGCCGAAGCCGCTCCCGACGCGACTGCACCGGCGATGGGTCATGCGGTGGTGGTGGTGGCGGTTTTGGTTGGCGTATGATATGATGCATAATGGTGGTGGTGGTGGTGGTGGTGGTGGTGGTGGTGGTGAAGAAGAAAAGTGAGAGTGACGCAAACGCAGCATAAAGATATGGAATGACGAGGCGTGAGGAAGCAAGAAGGGGCTTGTGACATCGCAGCACACCAATGACAACCCAAGCCATCCAGCAGCAGCAGCACATGCATGTACAACAAGCAGTACATGGTGATGGGTTGAGTGGTTGACTCACGTCAGCGTCGCCGGGCTGGTGATGGCGGTGGTGGAAAGAGCGTCACATTATCAATCATGCAGGCAGACAACAACAAGGCAGAATAACACAATGTGTTAGAGGTGGGCGGTGCACTGGCGACGGAGACATATGAGACACTTAAAAGCAAGCAGAGCACTGCATGCAAGCCAGTCACTGGACGCGCATGAGGATGTGTGCACACTCACCTCCGTTGGTGCTGTGTCCACAGCGCGCGGTGGTGAATCGCCACGACCACGATCACGGTCACGGCGGTCGGGGCTGCACAGACAACAACAACAACAGTGACAGCCACAGTCACAGCCACAGCG